TGTTAAATTGCATAATACATTATTATGATGTAGGGTAAGGGTTCATCCCAGTTGGTTCAGTCTATTAACAAACATAGCAAGCATATGCTTTATAGTCTGTATTACCTACTTTATTAAACCATTAAACTGGAAATAATATGGTGAAGTGTGCACCTTCACCACATGCAACATTGCACAATTCAGAGAACAATTGGCTGTTGAGGTTAGATCTCGGGTCGATAGGGATCTCTCGGGTGTTCTGAATTGGGCTGTTCAGTGCTGTGCCAACACATCAGCCTTAGACTGTGCAGATATATCGCCAATGGATATTCCTCGACCCACATCATGAAATAATCAGTGATCACCAGTCTATATAGGTGACCCTCTTCTATTTTTTTGAAGTGGACTAACAACATCTAAAGCTATTCTCTGTCTAGGAGAACCAGCCATTTTTTATTGGAGTCTACCCTGTTTGGGAGAGTTTTTATCTAGGTGGCACACTTTTACAGAATTCACTTTAGCTCTGGATGTCTCAGCTTGAAGAACCATGGTTGAATGTTAGTAAAATTATTTAATAACTTGGTATCCACGAGTCTTTGTTTTATGCATAGTCTGGACGGTTTTGTACCACAAAGCTCTGAGGACTACTATCTGCAACATCTATCTGGTATTCCCGATTCCATGGAATGTCGAGTGGATGTGGCCCATCTCCACTTTTCTTTTTCTACCCTACCTTCTAGACTTTTCCAAAGATCTTCTACATGATGGTTTCCTGCATCTCTCAATCAAGTTTCCAGACCTGTGGCTTTGGCACCATGATCAACCGGAACACAAGGGCAGTTCCGTCCTTACCAGCAGGTATCCTCCTTTAGGGTAGAATGCAGACTATGGCATCAGTGATTACCTTACAGGGTCAAGTACTGTGGGGTCTCGACTCAGAGGGTTCATATCAGTATGGGAGACCTTCACTATGGATCAGTGGGTCATTCAAGTTCTCAGGAAAGGATTGGTTATTCATTTCACATCTCCTCTTCCATTGTCTAATACTGGTTGGCTTTCCACTCCTCAAGGCCACTTTTACATCTAGCCATTGAGCTCAATCCTTCTAGGCTTTTCAGCACAAGAGGCCATAGAGTACATTGAGTCCTATCTCGAGGGTTTTTATTTCTAGCTGTTTGTAATACCTAAAAAGATGAGCAATTAGCGACCTGTCATCAACCTTTCTCATCTCAATTGCTTCATCCAGCTTCATTTCTTTCCCTTCAGTGGCTCTTTTCACCTGATCTGTGGATGACAAAATTCACAATCACCATCAGATGGATGACTGGTTTCTTCTCTCCCCTTCCTGCCATTTGGCAGTGCTTTACACTTAACCTCTGTTACCAGAAGCTGCGAGAGCTGGGTTTTTTATCAAAAAGGAGAAATCTATTCTTACTCCCACATAGTACTTCACCCATTTAGGAGTGTTTTTCAATTCGAAATTAAGTCAGGCTTTGGTTCATTTTGCCTTAGCTTACCATCAGGCAGATTGTTTTTTGTTTTCTTGCTCTCTGCACGTAGAATCTCTGTTGCCTGTATAGTGTGCTGAATCTGTTAATCCTATCCCTTTCTCCCTAGACAAATTTTCAAGCATCTGTCTGCCTCTATCATCTCTCCTACTGGTATTAACCATCATACACCTTTTTTCTTAGGCATTCCACCTGTTTCTTGGGGATTTTTGTTGGATAATTCTTCCTCTTTAATTCCAAGTTGGGGTAATTGCCATCTTTGGTTCTTTCCCTACACATGTGACTTTTTTAGCTTTTTGGATCTTATAGGGTGGGACACTGTTTGTACCAAGTTCATTTCCCTTCCACTTCTAATTGGGACTTAGAGAAAAGGTTGTTACTCCTGTGACTTTAGCATAATATGGGGTATATTTGTTGCTACATTCGATTTTTTCTTTTTTGATTGCTCGTTTGTCTCTTTAGCCAAAGCATTCTTTATTCGTGTTCCATGTCCAACACCTTCCAGTCATTTACCTGTCCTACATTTATGAGTTCCTCCATTAATCATGTATTCTAGCTGCAGATTGGAGTTCTGTGATCAATCTGTCCTGCCACAATCACTTCTTGGTTCTTTTTCATTTTTACTATGTTGTCTTTTATCACCCTCTGGTGGGCCATTTCTCCAGGACTGAGGATGCCCAAGGTCAACATTTAGTATTCTTATTTTGTTCCTATTTTTCATCCTTTATGGTGCTGTCTTAGGTTTGCTCAATGAGGAATTGCGTACCAGTTTTGTGCCTTGCCCTTCAAGCTTGTTTCAGATTTGTATGTCTTTATCTCCAGTTCCTCATCCACTTGCTTTTGCTGTTTATTGGGACCTGCTTATACCTTTATTTCTCATCCCATTTGTCATTTTCCCTAGGTGATTATATTCATCCTTGCACTTTGTGTTAAGTCTTTCTGATTGCTCCTTCCTGGCTGATATAGGCCTGATTTTCTCAGCTGCTTCAGCTGGATCTGTTAATTTTTGTTCTGAATCGATTTTTCCTCTCCTTCACTATGGCAGCTTGTTTGGCCATGTTCTTCCTTTTCGTTTTTTTCATCTTCCAACTTTATTCCCAGTCAATGTTCCATACATGCTCTGGGTTGCTTCATTGCCTTCAAGGGTTCTTTTCATTAGTTCCTTTTCCTGCTGTTTCATTCCCTAGCACCACTCCTCTGTTTGTGACTTTTCCTTCCTCATTTACCCTTTTGATTTGGATTTTGATTCGATTGGCTTTTTCTTCCTTGTCCTCTTTTTCTTGTACTCAGTAACTGGTGTCTTCGCTCTGATCAGGCACCTTCCTTTTTACCTGCATCTTACCTCCATCATACATCGAGCACTGGGACTACACCTCATATGTTTATCTCCCATTATCTGTTTTAGGCAGATGTTTCTTCCTCATTGGGGTACTGTCTTCCACCTGTTGCCATCCTTCACTCTGTAGTGAGACTGTGACTGGGTAAGTAATTTTTTAGTATGTATACCTTTTATTTTTCAGGGACATGTCCCTTTTTTTTCTTTATGGATCCTGCTCTGTGGCAAGTGGTACCTGTCCAGGTATACTTAAAGTAGTCAAATCTGCTCTGTAAGGCCAGGATGACTTGACATCTATGATTTGCATGGCCACTAAATGCACACTGTTGAGACAGGGTGTTCCACAAGATTGATCATAGGTTTTCCTCCCAATATATTTGCTTCATTCATATGCCTGTTCCAGGCCATATTAACTCATGGATAGCTGCTCCATCCCTGCCATTCATTAGATTGAATAAATCAGGAGTTATCTGCTTTTCAAAATAGGGTTTTAGTGGACTCCCATTGCACTGTCTCCAGTGTTGACATTCCTGTAGACTCTCCACTGCATTTTCTCCCCCCTTTTTTCTTCTAGTGGAGTACAGGAGTCCTTACCACTTTCCAGTTCCAAGCTACTAAGGGAGGCATGGAGCATCCTCTTGAATGTTGAAGTGAAATAGGATACAAACAATAATGAATCCATTTAGTTAAGAGTAGGGTGGTGATGTTCTGTTGGTGTAGATGAAGAGATGTCCTCCAATCTGACTCTCGATCTCTGAATGGGTTTATCTGAGGGGATGTTGTAGCTTTGGAGTGAGCCATCAAAATTGCAGTTCAACCCCTTCAATTGGGATCCCTCATGCTACCCCCACATAGATGTCAGTTCCTTGAGTCTAGGTTTTGGATTCAGAGCTGGACCAATCAACATAAGGCCTCATACATATTACAGGTGTCTCTGTTCCCTCATTCAATTGGACTCATGTTCACTGCTACTGTGTTGTGGGTCACAGTGGATGATCATGCAGGTTACTACAGTTCTTCCTATTGGGCTATCCCTCAAAAATGTTCATATACCTAGGATGTTACTGTGATGGGGTTGGCTCCTGTCTAATTGGTTTTGAGTTGAATATTGTACAATATAGAGACACATCTTTATTATTCTGATCATCCAGATGTTAGGTTACTGGATCAGTCAAACATTTTATCACTTTGCTGTTATGTGCTCCGTTCACAGATCAGTGGGTATGATATTTCTCTCCAGTTTGCTGAACTAGGCGTGAAGTTGGTATGATTCTCTTTCCTATCCTCCACCAGATGGCTGGGTTTTGGATTGCAGTTGACTTGCATGCCCTAGCCACTACACAACAAGTCTTCACCACACACACACACACACACACACACACACACACACACACACACATAT